CACCATCATTATGATCATTATCATTATCTAATGATAATAATAATATTATTATATTATTATTATATCAACATATATAGTCACGACCGTCTTTCCTCATCGGCCTCAGTCACGGATGCGCGCGCACAGGGAGGTCACGTGCTCGCCGGCATTACGTCATAGATTATAAACACAAGGTAATAAGGCCAAATAAAAAAATAGTGTGTGATAAGGCACAATTTGGATTATATACTTTTATAATTGCCTTATTCTGTCTGTGTGAAGTTCACTGTGTGAAGTTCACGGATAGATTTTGGTCAAAATGGATAAAATAAAAAAAGTGTCAAGGGATGGGAATCGAACCCACGACCTTCCGCTTACCGGGCAGATGCCATGACCACTAGGCTACCCTGGACATATTTTTCCGTTCACATTTTTATTTTTATATTTTCAAGACACACACAGTTTGGGGCGGGACGTTTCATAAGAGAGACATCCACGGCGCCAATTTATAATTGTAACGAATAGTATTTTAATTAAAACATTTTTAAAATATATACGCACTCGGGTAAAACCCAGGCGTTGCCCGGGCCATTCGTCTAGTAATAATATATATAATAATAAAACAGGCGAACAAATAATTAAAGGTTGAGCTGAAGCAAAAGATAGAAGTCAAAAACGTCTAAAATCGAGATAGATGGAAGTTCCACAACAACATCTAAATATAGATAGGAAGCTGTCAGGGCGGCGCCAGTGTACAATTTCTCCAGCCGATCTACGCACTTGTTGCATCTGCTGAAATGCAATACTTCCTCTCTCGGCAAAGATATATAAGGCCTCCGTCCTAGCCAAAAATATAGTCACTTCACCATCAGCGGAAGCCCTCGTCGGTTGTCACCAAGGTCCTCCTCATCCACCATTTAGACCAGTAAGAACTCCTTTATCTCCATCTTTCGCTCCTAGCTCAACTTTTATCTGCTCACGGAACTTTCCTAGTGCAACTGTGTCTTCGTTTTTTGTGTATGGACATTCCCAAGCTTTCCACTCTGCCTCGACCACGACTGCCTGTACTCTGTGAGAACTGTTAAAGGTCTCCCAAGGTGCAGAGAGGTACTGGAAAACTCTCCACGCCCTGACTGTCCCTCTCGGTTACTACAGGTTTGACCCTTTCGGTTACCACACCACAGCGAGAGACCCTCGGTTACCACAGTATAGCGAGAGTCGAAAGGATAACACACCACAGTTTAAGTCGACTGGATACCTCATCACATATTTAGTCGACAGGATCGCACATCACATATATATATATGGTAATTTAAGCCAACAAACCCATATTGTATATAATTTATACCAATATTTTAATGTTTTATAATAGAAACACATCTGTAAATGATTATACGCATTTTTGACATGTGTCTTCACATCATCATATGTAATGTAATTTGCACAAACTGAGGATAAATAAATAAAAATCTGTAATAGATTAAGAGTTGAGCTAAGCAAGAGATAGAAGTCATAACGTCAAAATCGAGATAGATTTAGAATTCCCACAACAAGGTCTAAAAATGGACCAGACCACTCACACTGTTCACATCTGGTGGAATGCAAAGCCCCCTCTCACACCTGGTGAAATGAAAAGCCCCCTTTCTCAGAAACGGCCCCTGTCGCATAAGGCCCCCCGTCTTAACCTATAAATACAGTCACTTTACAGTCACTTGACAGTTAGTGCAGCATCTGTGCGAGCTCACGCCGGTCGTACCTTAGATTCTCCTCATCCATCATGTAGACGAGTAAGAAACTTCTATCTCCCCATCTTTCGCTTCTAACTCAACTTTTATCTGTTCACGGAACTTTCTTAGTGCAACTGTGCCTTCGTTTTTTTTTGTGTGGACATTCCCAAGCTTTCCACTCTGCCTCGACCACGACTGCCTGTACTCTGTGAGGACTTTCAAAGGACTTACAAGGTGCAGAGAGGTACTGGAAAACTCCCCATCCTGGCTGTTCCTCTCGGTTAACACAGTATAGCGAGAGTCAACACTTCATCATTACAAAGTTAGTCGACAAGATTCTATACAAGAGGCTACCAGACCTTCACATCATTACAGATAGTCGACAGGATTCTACAAGAGTCAACGAGAACTTCACATTATTTAATATATATATTAAAAATAAAGAAGGCATCTCCTGACCACGAGCACATGTGCTTTTTAGATGGCAGAGCGCCATCTAGTGGAGCAAAAATAAACTAAACGTTTACATATATGTCATAATATATACTCTTCTAGGAATAATGAAGCCAACCTACAGACAGCACAGAGAGAGACGGGAGGGTAAAGTACGGTCACATGAGATACCAGCGACATTCCAAGGGGCGACAACTGGGGCCCGTTAGTTAACACCTCGGGACTTTTAAGACAGTTGGGGATTGTGGTGCGACACGAACGGCCGCCCGGCTGTGACAGTCCCGTCTCTCTCTGGTTACCTGGGTCCCTCGTTCTACTTCTGATGTCCTTATTTATTTCCCCCACCTCTTATTATCACATATATATATTATCACATATATATATATATTATCATTCATTGTTTGTTCTTGCTTTGAAAAAATTGCTGTATCATCCTGAAACTTGTCTTCTCTAATTTTCCACATGGAAATATAAATAAATTTTGTGATAATTTAAAAAAGTTTTCTGGTTTGTTGGCTGGTTACTTAAGTCTTGATCAGGTTGATGATTTCTCATGGTGTTCTATAAAGAAGATATATATACAGTAGAACCTCCATGAGAGGACACTGACGCTAGAGGACACCTCTCTATAAAGGACAGTTTTCATTTGTAAAATTGCCATTTTTAACTATTTTGACACTCTCCGGTAAGAGGACACCTCTCCCTAAATGACACTTTGGCTCTGCAACTAGGTTTTGTCCTTTACAAGGAGGTTCTACTGCATATTAAATATAATATTAATAATTTAGAAATACTCTATTTTAAAATAAATACACAATAATATGTTATATTAATATTTTATAAAAAGTCTCAAATAGAAAATCTCAGGTTATTCAAACTAAAATGTCAATGCCCTCAATAAATTAAAATTCGAGAACTGGTCAATTTAATTTATTTTGAATGTTCACAGAGGACGAAGAGATTAGTAATCGTGAGCTTCTTAAAGAAATCTGTAAGATTGAAATAAAATAAAACTAAAGGTTTATACGAATGTAAAGAAAAAGATTTACAAATTAATGAGAATTTTACAAATATTTTTTAGGAGTATTTATTTCCAAAAACACATTTTATTTTTAGGACAATTTGTTAATGAACGTGGGCGAAAGGGATTTCACAGTTAATATGGAGTCAATTTTAGTTTCTGACAGCTTTTGTTCGTCTGGGGGATTTTAAAAGGGTTGTGAATTGATTTTACAATTAATCTCACAACCAAGATTATTGGATTCCTGTCTCTGTTTGTAATCTAAACCAATATCCTGGTATAAACAGGATTTCCCATGTAGGCGTTTTGAATGCTTTTATTTATGGCTATATCCAATTAATTATTTTTGATATTGTGTCTCTCTTACGTAAATAAAACTAGGATGACCTAAGGAAGAAAAGACAATTTTCTTTAATCAAAGCACAAATACACCACACATATATATATAATATATTCAATTTATTTATTTTTCTAATTTGACCTAAAAACAAAAAAGCTTTTTTTAAATTATCTTTTTGTTCTCTGTTATGTATATATAGATTTGTTTTTTTCTTTTGGGTTGGTTAAATGTTTTTTTTTATAAAAATAATTTTACAAGTATTAGCCAAAAATAAAATATTATATAGTTAAATTTGTTTAAAATAAAATAACAATATTGATAATTATTGATATTTCATTCTTCTTTTTTTTTGTAAGAAAGATTTGCATTCGACAATCTAAACATTACTTAATAATTAATTATTTCCATATATATAGATGGGTGTACGCGCGCAATGAAATAAATTTGCAGATTAACAAAATACAATAGAATCTCTTCTCTAAAGGACATCTAAAATTAAAGTGTGATATATAAGCTTGTTATTTCACATTTGTTTTTACCCAATTATTTTGTACAGAGTTTATGATAATTGTGTGTATATATATAGATATTAATATTTTAAAATATATATGTATTAATCAACCAGACGCGATATTGTAGTATTTGCGCCTATTACAAAGGAAACAAACAAAAAAATTAAAAACAAATTAAAACTTAGAATATTAAAACTTTTAACAATTTAAATGTATTAATTAACAGAGTTCATAGACAAAATGGCTGATGTAAGAGAGTTAAATCATTTAGATCAGGGAACAATCGATGTCTCACTTCTGTGAAATTCGGACAGTCATAGATAAGGTGAAGAGCAGTTTGTTCAGTTTCTCCGCAGGAACATTTTGATTGTTTCTGATAGAATTCTTTTATGTAAGTATTTCTGAAATGTTTCTTGTGATATGACAAATTGAGTGACTATAAAAGTTGGGGAACTGTATAGGAATTCCGTTTAGAAATATATATATATATATTATAAAAAATGAGATATGATATATTTTGGAATATATATATTAGTATTAGGTCAATAGTATTGGTATGCAGTCGTGACAAAAATCTTGAACGTATAATAATAAAAATAGTTTTGATCAGTAATTGCTTTAATTGAACTAAAGGAGTATATAAAAAACATAATTTGATAAAAGTGCTGCCTGGCTTAAGGCGTAAGAATAAAAAATGAAAAACTTATTTACATAATGTACAAAAGATTTGAGCCGGCCATCGGGCAACAACAACAGCGAATTTTTATAGGGGAAGCGTGACCCCTGGCGGTCGATTTAACAGAGTATTCGAACCTATGAAATATAAATTTAAATAAAATAATATTTTTATATAACATATATTAAAATATACAAGTATCAGAGTCATAATCAACAATCAATCAACAATTCTGTCACCGTTTGCTTTTGTGAATGGAATAAATACCCAAATATGGCCATTTTTTAAATAAGTTTTGGTGGTTCAGTGGTAGAATGCTCTCCTGCCACGCGGGCGCCCCGGGTTCGATTCCCGGCTGAAGCATTTTTTTTGCAATTTTTAAAACTCATTTATATTATTATTAAAATATACAATGACAGGAGACCTGACAGACAAGAATGGATCAAGGCCAGGGGACCATCTTATCGAGGAGCCACTAGGAGAGGCCATAGAAAGACTATGGAGAGCTGCAGGACATCAGGGGACCATAACGGCAAGGGCCACAGCACTGACCAGGAGTCAAGATAGCAAATGTAAATATCTTTGTTTAATTTTACTGTTGTCATTTATTTAAGTTGTAAATAAAAATATGTAAATAGACTGACCATTCGCTACACTTTTTAGAGAAAAACTTGTAACCTTTTTGAAAAATAAATTAAAATATACAAGTATCAGAGTCATAATCAACAATCAATCAATTCTGTCACCGTTTGCTTTTGTGAATGGAATAAATACCCAAATATGGCCATTTCTTATAAGCATCAGTGGTTCAGTGGCGAGAATGCTCGCCTGCCACGCGGGCGGCCCGGGTTCGATTCCCGGCCGATGCATTTTTCTTTTTTTACAATTTTTAAAACTCATTTATATTATTATTATTAAAATATACAAGTATCAGAGTAATCAATTCTGTCATCGTTTGCTTTTGTGAATGTAATGCTTTTACGTAATATACGTAACTAATATGACTGAAATTTTAGCAGTATGTATAGTAGAATCTGGAAAAACTTATATTGAATATTTCAGGTCTCTATCCCGAATATTCTTCGAGTTATTTGAAATTTGAGTTGCAAATTTGCTCTTTCGCTCGCAAGCAGCGCCTCTAGCGGTGATATCAGCTGACCTAATGTACATGTAAAACGTGTTTAACAGGACATAGAAAAAAATATGGAAGATATATTTGTCGCATTTTTAGCCTAGAAAAATTGATATTGACAGGTTCTGGGCATAAATAGTTGTTTTTTTTAGTCAGAAAATGATTATGACAATATTGCTGTATCATATTTGATTATCAGATACAAAATTATATCCGGAAAAATTCCAAAAAGCAGAGACCACGGGTGAAGCCAGTTCATTTTTAGTAGGCAGGAACAAAATTCGAACAGAAAAACATTCATTCGAGCAGAAGACACAGAGCCAGATCATCTCTTTATGAAAATATCGTTTCTCAGACACAAAGTTTGGAGTGGGAGTTTCACAAGAATGACATCCACGGCGCCAATTTATAATTGTAACGAATAGTATTTGAATAAAAACATTTAATCGGGTAAAACCCGGGCGTTGTAATAAAATAATAGACGCGACAAAAAGAAACGCAGCCATTTTCTCTTTGTTTATTTTCTAACTCCTTTGTTCTCCTCTTCTCCCTCTTACCCCTCGGGTCGTTGGTCAAAAAATCATATACAAGCATTGACTATTTACTCTTTGATTATAGATTGACTATTTACAAGTAGTGTGGGAATTATATTGCAGTGAACCTGTGTGGGTGTGCGCAAGATGAAATTCGTAGCTGCACAGTCTAGATCAAATTTTTAATTTTCTCTGAATTGAAAATATCCTAACGAGGTTATGATATACTATTGATATTTTAAACTGTTATTTATTACATCTTTATTCTCTAATAAGTCGATAGGATTCGAACAGTGCGGGGTTAAAAGCTAAGACTACGGATGGTAGATCTCTCGGCCACGATTGCTCAATTTGAAAATGTTCATATCTTTCTTCATCCTACGATCCCTATTCTTCCTATCGTTGGCCACAAGTTGGCTAGACCTATGTTCCAACCTGTAAGTCTGGATAACGTCGTCTGTGTACCTTTTCCTATGATATACTCGTACATTGAGTTTACGGCTCACTCAATGGAAGTACATAGGTCAAAGCACTACAGCCAAAATTTTCTTCTTTTTTTTTTTTTTTTAAGGATCATCTCTAATTCGAACTAACATTTTGAAGTACTCATCTTAGGATAGGTTTTACCGAACATCGATTTTCGAAACTAACCGATGGGGTTATTCCATATCTTAGAGGATGAGGTGTTTAAAAATCCAAAATTTTCTTTTTTCTTTTAACCCTCGATAGTTTATCTCATAAAAAACGCTTATACTAATCCTATAGTTGTTCTATCGTATTTACTATACGTAAATTAACTTATTACTATTGTCCTAAATATATCTGTAGGCCTTTACATCTTGTCTGACCCTACACCAGACAAAACGAACGGAGGTATGCGGGGTTGTTATACCCGACTAACGATAAGCGCTAGCCTCTGCATGTTGTAAGGTGGCTAAAGATATTTATAGGCTATTTAAACCCACACACGCATTAAGTGTTTTTATGTTCACAATTTAAAGTAATATATTCAAGTCTTCAAGGTCATATATCATGTGAGTTTATAGCTTGATTAAAATTATCATATCGCCTCATATAGTCCAACATTACATTTATATACAAATTTATATATTCCACTATTCTAACGGTTCCATTTTATCAAGAACATTTTATAAGAGATATGCAGGTTTGTTTGCATGGGTAGAGGTAAGATATAAAACAATAAAGGAAGAAGGTATATACAAGATGCTAAATAAGTATAAAGAATCCAAAATATTATTGTGGTAATTAAAAACAATGGAAATTTTTTAATTCTAAATATAACAGTTTTATACAAAAATGTGTACACAGAGTGATAACATTATTTATTAACGAGTCTTTATTTAAATAATGTGAAAATTCTTTGGTCGCCAAGGTTGTTGGTATAAAGACATCGGCATTTGGATTAAGTTTACTGTGTAATTTTTCTTTGGTAGTCCCCAAATTACTTTCCACCATATTATCGAATGGATTGATTTTAGAGTCTAAGACCAATGTACTGGATTTAGTGGGCTTTACTATTGATGAAAAAGTTGGTTTAGATGTTATTGGAAAATCAGGCTTATAAAATTTTTCATCCGTGAAAATACTGTTGTACAAATGGTTAAACGGTTGGAACCATTTCCTTGGTCTGGAGGAACCCGGATCACCCAAGTTATCTGTAGTGAAGTGCCTATAAGGAAATAGAAAATAGTTTTGTCTAGGAGGAGAGTCGGAAAGGTCCGTAGGAGGTGTGATATGGGGAATATTTTCTACATATCTACGAAGTTTTTCTATATTTATAATTTCTGTCTGTAACTGCAAAGGTCTATTTGGTCTATTAATGCGCACTACCTGAGGTGATAGTATTTCCAAGATCTCATATGGGCCTGTATAGTTAGGTTCCAACTTTGGAGTATTCGGATGTCTATAAACTTTCACCAATACTAGATCCCCTGGTACAAAATCAATCTTTTTATGTTTTTGATCGTACATTAGTTTTTCGGCCTTATGCCTTGCTTGAGTCTTTTGTAATGCTATTCTTCTTGCTTCTGAGAGTTCGGGAAATGTCTGAACATGGTTGTTTAAATTGTTAGGGACTATCCCTTTTAATAAATATATGGAAGGAAATCCCGTCACTGTATGTGGAGTTAGATTGTAGATTATGGTGACCCTTTCTATCTTTTTGGTCCATGTCTGTTTGGGGTGTTCTAAATGGAGTATCTTTAGTTTCCCCGTTATGGTTGCATTCAATCTCTCGCTCATACCATTTGACTGTGGGCGATTTGCTGTGGTATACAAGGGTTTTATACCTTGTGAGATTAAAAACCTTCTAAATTGAGCGGATGTAAATGCAGGAGCTCGGTCTGTCAGTAGGTTTTTAGGAATACCTTCCTGAAATACCCTTTTTAGGATTTGAATATAGGTCAGGGTAGAGGTAGATTTACTAGGAAAAGTCCAACAGTATCGACTCATGTGATCACATATTACATGTAAATAAGCTCGGTTACCACCATACATATTAAATCCGGCTACTGTGTCCATTGACATAAGTTCATAAGGTTCCTTCGCGAGTGGTAAGGTACCCATTTCTCCATATGTGGGTCCTTTCGGAGGTTTTACTATTTGGCAAATTTTGCATTTACGGACATAGTTATTTATATCTTTGGTCATACCATCCCAATAGTACTGACTAGTGATTAACCTAGTGAGTTGTGTGATTCCTGGATGGTTATACCATTCGTGTGCTTTCTGGAGTAACTTATTTCTTAGTGTATCAGGTACGACTACTCTGGGTACGCCCTTTTTAGTAATAATCGCAAGTCCATCAGTATTGATGAGTGATTGATATTTCTTAGGTATACGATGCTGGTGTTCCTCCAATTGTTGAGCCTCTAGAAATCCGCAAAATGGTTGTCTTTATAGTAAGTCTGCTTCGAGTTGATTTTTACCTTTCAGATAGTGTATGTCAAACGTGTATGGGCTGAGTCTCAAGGGCCACCGAAATAACCTACCTGACGGATTTTAAATATTTTTCAAATAGACCAGAGCTTGGTGATCAGAATAAATGGTGAAATGTCTACCAAGCAGGTACACCCTGAAGTATTCGATAGACTCAATGATAGCTAAACACTCCAGCTCCGAGATGGAGTAGTTCTGTTCATACTTGCGTAGAGAGCGAGAGAAATATTGTACAGGATGTTCTTCTCCAATTTCATCCTTTTGCTTTAGAATTCCGGATATCCCTAATGTACTCGCGTCACAATATAAGAAGCAGGGTAAATCTTCTTTAAAGATATGTAAAACTGGTGATGCAGTTAGGCTGCTTTTCAAATCTTCAAATGCCTTCTGACATTCAAGAGTCCACTTAAAAGGAATATTCTTTTTTAGAAGTATATTTAAAGGCGATCTAAGCTGTGCATAATGGGGAATGAATTTATGATATACATTTACGACACCTAAAAATGACTGTAAAGTTTTAATATTAGTCGGAGGTTGGATGGTTCCTATTACCTGAGTGTTAGTTAGGTGAGGTTTATACGTGCCCTGTGTGATTTCGTACCCTAGGAAGCTAATGGAGGTCTTACATAATTGACATTTGTTAAGGTTGAGGCGGATATTTTCTGCCCTGCATAGTTGGAAGAATAAACGAAGATGTTCTAAGTGTTCTTCAAAACTATCAGAAAAATTATAAAATTATC